GGAGTGTTCAAGTACAGTATAACAAGGAGCTTGTGGAATGAATTAACGGGGTCTCGGAGAGAACGCTCTTCACATCCACATAATCTTCACACAGGTTGAGGTTCCCCTCCTTGCGCCTAGCACAGCTCGTTAGCAGTTAAAACCAGAAGCACCCTCTCGTCTTTGGTTTTTTCCAGGGATGACAGCCATGTCTTTTTTTTTTTTTTTTAACTTGCGTGTTGAAGGACGGGAACAGTGTTCCTGATCAAGGGAACAGCAAATATTAAGCTGAGAAGTGGATGTGGTATTTTATGCATATAAACTAAGACACCTTCTTTGGTCTTACCTGAATAATGTGATGAAATCAGCATGCTTCCAGTTACAAAGCCAAAGGCTAAGAGTGATTTTGGAGCCTTACCTTCCGTGCCACCCCTGCATCTTAACAGCTATGTCTTCGAAAATCCATTCACGCACACAATCTATAAAAGTGATCCGATTCCTCTTCTTTTAACTCCTCTTTGTCCTATTATTTTCTGCGGGTAAGCAGAAACAGAGGTGATTGCTTTCAGCCTTCGTGTTCATCTTAACCCCAGGACTAGGAGACTCAGCCCCTCTCTCCCTTTGACTATGATTCCATCCTGTGCTCTGCTGAGAGGCCCTGATAAGAGCTTGTGCCTCGTGCCCTTGCAGGGAGTGATGGATGTCTCTGTCTTATGGTTGCCACCGCAGGATAGGAACTTTCTGGAAGGCCTTTCCCCAGACTCTTACCATGTTAACATGGACACAATTGAAAACAGACCTGGAGCTAGACAGGCTGCATCCCTGACTTGTGAGCAATTACACTGATATAATTTTCTGAATGACAACGGAGTTTCCTTTAAGTTCATTCTGGTGTCACAGCGAGGCAGGGACACCGAATCGGTAGTGCCTTCACAAGTGAGGAGCTGAAGTGTGGGAGAGACACTAGCCAACCAGGAACACATTGTTCTGTGGTCTTAGGATCTCCAGGGCCTGACATAATAATACCCAATACATACCAGGAGCTCGGTGAATGCTTTTGAGTTGATAACTACAGCCATTTATGTCCATGTAAAAATTCCTGTATGCCACTGTTATGCCATGACACCAGGCTAGGTGAAATACTTTGTGGACTCATGATTTTAGGGGTTCTCCCAAACCCTTATTATATTACAATGTATATAAAAATTCTTTTTAGAGATACCATCTGAAATCCTATTTAAGGTTAAAATTTCAGGAGAGTGTTGCCTTGGCAAGGGGTAGAGGGTAGGGTAGACTGAAAAGGGGCATCAGATAACTTTCTGGGGTGATAGAAATGTTCTGTATTGTGATATGGTGTGGAGTACCTAGTTGTATCCGTTTGTCAAAATTGTGCAGCTAAGATTTGTACATTTCAATGCATGTAAATTTCACTCTAAAAAAAAAAAAAAGGGTTCATTATATTTATTTTGTTTGCTTGAAATAATTCATAGTAAAAAAAACTTTAAGTGCTGTCCAGTGAATCTTCTTTCATGTTAAGAGGTAAGGCAGGGTCAAGGTTTGTCCCCACTTTGTTTAATAAGTAAGGAAGGGATGGCAGAAAAATTCCAAGTAGGATATCAGTGAATTTAATTTGGGAGTGGACAGGAAGAGCCATTTTTAGACACAGCTCTTCATTATGTATCTATTCAATGCCTTTCCTCGGGTCTATACATGAATATGTATGTAACAAGTTCCTTTCTCAAAAAAAAAAAAAAATGCCATGTGTAACTAACAAGTAGACTGGTATCTAGGATGACTCACCTTCCTGGGTCAGTAAGTAGGTGGTGGATATGCCCAAGTCAATGCATTTCTGCTGTGCTTTCCCACTGTTCCACCTGATCGGCACCTCTTTGAACTTCTCCTGCACCCTGATCTGCAGCACACACATAGAACTCAATCTGACCTCATTCTGTGTGCTACTTGTTTACCATGTTTCTCCACAACCTGAAAGTAAGCTCTTTGAGGGTAGGGACTGTGCCTTATAACTTTTGTGGTTACCGAGCCCCTGAGTCCCCCTTGCTGGAGCCTCCCCTCCAGAGCTTAGACTATGGGAGGGGCTCAATGAGTAATATCCTCTGTCCTATCGATTGGCCAAACAAGGCAGGGGCAAGGCAACTAGGATGGGAACTCATCCATAAATGCTTTACATTTATTTTCTCATTTTATCCTTATTTTATCTCATTCAGTCCTCAAGATAGGCATTGTTGTGTTTGTTTTACAGATAAGAAAAGCGGACATCCGAAAAGGTTAAGTATAATTCGTCAAAAGTTCTAAGTTAGGAAGTAGGAGGCATGGAATTTGAGTTCCGTTTTGTTGGACTTTAAAATCATGCCCTTCCACTACTCCACACCCATCTCTTCCCTTTCGTCTGGTTAGATGCTAAATGTCCTACATTTTCAACACTGAATTCCGAAACCTTACCTTCTCACCCAAGGTCTGAGCATCTCCGCCGCTGCTCTCCAGCATGGGGGACACCAGGTACATCAGGACATCAGGCAGCATGTCCATACCCCAGTGTTACTTTGGCACATGTCAGATGTTCAAGAACCCATTCCCGAGAAATGAGAAATGACCTCCTCCCAGCTGGTGTTTCCGTCTTAGCTTCCTGACCACACACAATCTGCTCCTTGACTGCAGCCCGAAGGGTCACCTGGGAATGATCGTCCAAGTCCTTTGATAGAGATGAGGTTCCTAGAACCAGCCAGTCAGATTGCCAGCTTCCACACTTCATCACCTGGGCATAGTTGGAGCACAAATACGTGACAGCACGTGGGCGAAAGGCGGCCTCTTTTTCCATGACGCTCTGCTATTGTTACAGGAAAAGGCTAACCCATTGAGATGCCAGGAGCATGGCTCATCCCAAAGTTCTGGTCCGTCTCTTGTTAGCCATACGGAAGTCTGGCAAAAGAGTTTTGCAACTTTTACGACTTTCTGAGGAATTAACTCACCCCCCGCCCCCCCCCCCCTATCCTTGAAATCTGCAGGTCGTGTTGTCAACAACGGTGAACGTGGATGGACACGTGCTGGCTGTTTCCGACAACATGTTTGTTCATAACAACTCAAAACACGGGCGGAGAGCGAGAAGGCTGGACCCATCGGAAGGTAGGGCTCTCTGCTGTCCAGGCTGAGCCTGGCAGACAAATGATGTTCTCCACAAATTTCCTTGTTTGAGTTTCAAATTGATGTCTCTGAGTAGGAGTGGAGAAAGTACACAAGACCATGTGGATTTAAAAATGGAGCTGTAAACAGTGACTTCTGCCTGCTTTCATGTAAGCCCCACACGTCCCCCAGCTAATGTTCAGGCCCCTGTGCCTCACTGGCTCTTTCATTCAGTTCTGTGGGTTTTTCTTTTTTTTCTTTTTCGGCTAGAGGGGCATTTCAGGCAAATGTAGGCCTATGACATCTTAGTTAAACAGGAACATTACCGTGCCAGACGTGTATGAATAAGTGTCAGATGTGCCCTTAAACAGATTGTGGGCAAAACAAAACAATGTGCAGAATGAAACTGACACTAATTGATTTTTGTTTGCTTGGACAAGAAGAAATCATGGTCTGCTCTAGGTAGTTTTCCAAGCGCCGGTAAAGTAATTAGAAATACTGGTAACTGTTAAACTTCAAGTTGTCCAAGAAAATAAAGTATATGGAGGAAGATAACTGACAAACCTAAGTAAGTCCCATCTACATTCTTTTTTCCCCACTCCTCAACTCATTAGTGTACAACTCAGCTCTCGTAATATAGAGTGAACGGTTAAATGGGGCTCCTATTTTAGTGTGATGTCTTCCTGTATACTGCCCACCAGACCCCACCCCATCTTGGCCCTTAAAATGTGTCTTGTATCGTTTCAAACAGGAATTAATGACCTGAAAGAAAATGATTGAATCAGTAAAGAATTTGGAGTGGTGTTAATTCTCCCACAGTGGGCACTGAAAGGGGAGAAGAAAATCCCAGCGTTCAGAACTAGGAACCCATCCAGTTTCTTTTGACTGATTGGATGTGATTGGCCGGCTGCTCAAAGGGGCTTCATGTTTTTGGAGTCCTGCCAAAGTTCTTCCCCACCTTTGACCCCGTCAACTTTGGAAATGGAGTGATGGATTGACTTTAGTTATGGCCTGAAAACCATATTGGCTTCCTGTTGGGATGTAAAGTCCAGAGGCCTTGAACATATGGAAGAATGAGGGAAAATCCTTCCTACAAAGTTAGGAAAGTGATTAGAAATTGTCTCTTGATAGAGATGAAAAAAAACCTTCAACTCTGATAGATTTTGCTTTCTCCTTCTCTCTCTAGCCCGTTAACAGACCTTGTGGATCTTAACATCTCGGGACAGAGGAGGTGGGGAGAGAAGAGGGATTTACACATTTGTAGTGTGATCAACTTATAAAAAATATGGTGAAAACCACAGAGCTTTAAAAGCACCTTTTGCACAATTAGCCATTTTCATATGTAGTGGTCACCTCATTAGGCTTTAATGACCTGGTGAAAACCAAACAACCAATTAGGGAATGATGGCAAGTCAGCAAAGCTCAACTCGAACTTCTGAGATGACCAAGAGCAGCCAGCCCCCAAACTCCAAACTTCAACCACCAAAGGGCAAACCTGACTTCGTCTTTCCTATCTTCTTAGCTACTCCATGCATCAAAGCCATTAGCCCGAGTGAAGGCTGGACCACCGGAGGAGCCATGGTCATCATCATTGGGGACAACTTCTTTGATGGCCTCCAAGTGGTGTTTGGGACTATGCTTGTATGGAGTGAGGTGGGCAAAGGCAACTCGCTTCCCTGATTTTCTTTGCCCCAAAGATTGTTTTGATCTGGGGAAACCAGTAATTCTGCAATGCCAGCAACAGGAACACACACTATTGAGTACCTATTATAAGTGGGGCACCAGGATGAAAAGACGTGTAAGCCACAATTTACTGCAGGCGTGGATCCCTTAAAAAGATCAATATTCACTGCAGTACTGTTTATAATTCTGAAAAATTAGAAACTGGCTAGATACTGGCTAATAGGAGAATGGTTAAATGATGAAGTGTCATCATTTATTTAAAAATTTTATTTGAAATATTTTTAATGATACAGGAAAAGGGAACACATGCTATAATGCTAAGTGAAAGAAAACCAGGACAACAGTATCTATGGATGTAAAATCTAATTATATAACACACAACCATAGAAAAGTACTGGAAACATGCCAAAGATTAATAACGGTTGTCTCTGGGTTATGCAATGTTAACATTTTTCTCTTTATTTTTCTGTAATTTCCAATTTTTCTACTGTGATACTGAGAAAAACAAGTTACAAAAAGATATGTAACAGTGCTAAGTTTGTAATGGATATTGCCAAATCAATTTGTGAGGTCATGGCAGTGTAGGAATGAGGGAAGGGAATGATGACAGGGATGGGAGTTGTGGGGGGGCACACAGGAGGTGAGAGGGACTTGAGCTGGGCTGATAGGAAGGGAAGCGTACACAGGTTGGGTTGAAAGGAAATTCCAGGGTGAGAGAGAGAAACACATGAGACACAGGGACAGGGCATTCAAAGCATCTGGGGTGTCATGAGTGCACCAGTTTGCCCTGGATGGGGGAGGGGGTAGCAGCAGGAGATGCTCCTGTGCTCAGTATCTCTATGATAACTTGTATAATAGGTATTTTATTTCTCTGCCTGTTCATTCCTCAGCTAATAACTCCTCATGCCATCAGAGTGCAGACTCCTCCTCGGCACATTCCTGGAGTAGTAGAAGTGACATTATCTTATAAATCCAAACAGTTCTGCAAAGGAGCTCCAGGGAGGTTCATTTACACAGGTGGGTGAAAAAATGATTCCAAGGGAGACTGGCTCCTGGTTCACCTTTGCTCTAGGTCCTACTCTTTACACTTTATAATCATTCTAACTCTTCTAGGTCTTTCTACTGGTGTGGGAAGTGTGGACTGGGTGATAGGCATTGAACGGGGACATGTGAACCTGATTCTAAATTTGTATTTTATGTAAGCAATTTCTGCAGTCTGGGAGACGGTCATGGAACCTCATTTCAGGAGTCCATCCTTATGAATTTAATTCAGCTGGAACCATGCTAGAATAGATTTTTATCCAGGCAAATCAGATTAAAAAATTCAACAAAGTTGCTGGCTATAACTAAATTTTCTTGAAAAGGATTCAAGCAAGTTGCCTAATGATGCTGCAGAGTGATTCAAATTGTTTAAAAATTTTATGAAAGTAGAAATTATCTAATTGGTTCAATATTTGTTGAATGCCTACATTGTATCTACTACTTTTTTCCAGGTTAAAGGGACAACGACATAGAAAACGTGGTCCCTATTTGGAAAGTTAGAAACTATTGGAAGAGGCAATGGTATATTGCACAGAACAGCAGGAGAATTAGAGTATTCAAAATGTTTAGTATTTCCAGTGAATGGAATACGAGTTTCAGGAAGAGTGACTTTAATGTGGACTAGAGTAGTGGGATGAGGTTTCAAGGAGGAGATGAAATTGAAGACCATTCTTAAGGATGGGGAGGATTTGGATAGGCAAAGAGAAAAAGCGAGAGAGTTTCAACTCTATGGGACTCTTACGGGCAAAGGTGCAAAGGGTGACGTGTGCTTGTATCTGGAGAGAAGGCTGGTTCAACAGCTGTGGGGATCCGTTTAGGTAGAACTTATACCAGAACTTAGCTGAGATGAGCTAGGCGTGGCAGGGAAGGAAACCATAAAACAGCTCAAAAGTTCTGTATGGTGCCTAAAACAGGGTCACGTGATATTAAACAAGGTCACGTGACGAAAAGCCTGGGGAGTAGATGTAAAAAAAAAAAGCCTGCGGAAGTGATGTAAAGCAGGGTCACATGAAGTAAAGCCTGGGGGACTGATGTAAAGTTCATGTTCATGGAGACAGAAAGTCGAATGGTGGTAACCAGAGCTGGGGGGATGGGGGCAATTGTTGTTTAATGGGTACAGCGTTTTAGTTTTGCAAGATGCAGAAGTTCTGGAGGTTGGCTGCACAACAAAGTGAATGTACTTAACACTACTGAACTGCACATTTACAAGTGGGTTAAAAGGGTAAATTTTGTTATGTGTATTTTACCGCAGTTTTAAAAGATGAAAAAAAAAAAAAGGCCTTGTATGGGAGCTAGGACTTAATTTGGCAAGATCTAAGATGACATTGAAGGTTCCTATGTGAGGGAGAGTAACTCAAAGCTGTTATCTTAGGAAAAACGAATGCTGTTGATATATGAAGACTGAGTTAGTCAGGGGAACAGCTGAGGGCAGGGAGATCAACTAGAATATTGTTGTTTTGAAGAGAAGATAAGGGGAAAGAAAGAAATATAGAAATCAAGAAACTATATCAGACATATTATGAATTTCTAATAATATTATTTTATAGTGTATTCTTTCTCATTTGGACTTAACCTCCTGTTCTTGTTTAAGCGTAAACGTCGGGTTAGGTATCAGTTGGGAGTAGGTGGAAGAGGGTGATTTTTAGGTATATATTTAACATTTTGCCTTTGAGGTTTTCTCTCTGTGATAGGCACATCTTGGTTGGGTTACCTTTTTTTGTGGATCTATGGAAGACTCTATTGCAGTTGCAACAAAATATTTACTATTCTAGCTCCAAAGGGACATAGTTTTTGAGTCATTTAAATGAGCATTTATTACATGCCTACCATGGGCTGGCACAGCTCTGGGCTCTGGGATATAGAAGCGGGCAAGATAAAGCCCCCCATCTTAATAAAGCTTGCATTCTAGAGGCGGAGACAGACAACAAGAACATACATGATATAATTTCAGATAGTGACAAGGACAGGTCAGAGAATGAGGGAGGGTCTCTCTGAGGAAGGGGCATTGAGCAGAGACATGTATCGCAGGTGTGGAAATCTGTCTGCCTCTGTCCTTATCTTTTTGACCTCCTGTCCTCTCCATTCACATTTCCTCTGTCCCTGGACCTCCTCGGGGCTGGGTTTTCTGTTTGGTTCACCAGTGTTAGCTAGAATAGCACCTGGCAGTCAGTGAATTGGGGGCAAGTGTCTCAGGTAGAGAACAGATGACAGCCTGAGAGGTGGGGATAAGCCTGATTTAAAAAAAAAAAAAGGAGCCCACATAACAGTAAAAATAATAGATGTTACGTTACATGTAAATCCAGAAATTTTAGAGATAATGAGACATTGAAGAGCATCTGGTCAAACTCCCTCTGTTGCAGGTGAGAAAACTGAGACCCAGGGAGAAATGACTTGCCCATTGAATTCAATGTGGAGTCAGAACAAGGACTCAGGGCTCTGGCCATCCTGTCTGGTGACTTCTGTTGAGCAATGCAGTGTCGCCAAATAGTTCTGTTTGCCTGATGTGCTGAGACATCGTTGACTTATTCCTGAAGCAAATATCAGTTGAACGTGCCCATTCTGCTCAGCCCTGTGCTCTGTGCTGTGGATGCTACAGACCAGTCAGGCCAGGGGGAACCTTCCTTCCTCAACGTTGTGATATAGTGAAATAAATGTGAACTGCTCATGCTTTGGGGTCAGACTGGCTGGATGCACAGCTTGGCTGGCCTCTACATAGTTTTAAATCTTGCAGGAGTGACTTAACCTCTTAGTTTCCCCATCTAGAAAATGGGCTACCTACCTTCCAGACCTGTGATGATGACTAACTAATACAGTGCATGGCAACAGTGGTGTGCCGGTAAAGGTTTAACAGCCAGCTCTCCAGGGAAAAGGGGCGGGGGAGCATTGGTTTGTAGCACTTGCTGATTTCCATGGTGCAGGTACTCTCACCATGGCTGATTTCAAGCTACCGGTATGACATCAGCTAGCTCACAGCATTCCTGAAAATTTAACCACCTGTTCTCATGAGCTGGTACACACCAGGTCTAGAGCACCTCTGCACGTAAAGCATTTGAAATAGAGAGAAACTGTATCTTATTACTCAAAAGGTGTATATTATTAATATTATTATTGCTATTACTGTTATCACGGAGGCTGACTTGAACAAGGAATTACAAATGTGATGAGTTGTATAGGATGCTGGGGATATATGTCAGAGGAATCTTAAAATAATAGGGAAGGTTAAGGACAGTTCAAACACATGAAACAGTATGTGCAAAGGCCCTGTGGTAGGAAAGAACATGGGATATATTTGATGGCAACTATGAACAGGGAAGAAAGAATGTTAAAGAGAGGTTGGCTTCAAGCTGGAAGAGAGGGTTGAGCCTGCTTGTTTGGCTCTATCCCAAGTGCCATGGGGAGCTGTTGGAATAGTTAAAGCTGGGAGTGCCATGATCAGATTTGCCTTTTAAAAGAGTATTCTGGCTGCAGCAGTAAGAATGGCTTGGAAGCTAGGGAGGTCAGTTGGAGGCCAGTGTGGTGGCCCTGGCCAGAAATGATGGCAGCTTGGACTAGAGTGCTGGTGGTGGGGACAGGCAGAAGTGGATGAAATTTAGGAGGTAACACTGACGGGACTTGATGATTGATTGGATGGGGTGAAGGTTGGGGAAGGAAGGGGAGGGGACGACTCTCGGGTTTCAGGTTTGAAAAATTGGGTGGGTATAGCTTAGGAAAGTGATTTTTAAAAAGGTATAAAGTGCTAAGGGAGTTCAGAGGAAGGACAAAATACTTCCAGCTGGCGGAGAGGTGGGAAGATTTAATATTGTAAAGATGTCGATTAATGAATAAATTTAACACAATGCCAATCAAAGTACCAACAAAACGTTTGGGGAAACTTTACAAGAGTTCACCTGTAAAAGTAAAGGTGCTAAAGTAGGACCCCGCATTTTGAAAAATGAGAGGGCCTTGCCCTGCCAGACTTTAAAACCTATTTTAAGTTTCAGTAATTAGAAGGATATGGGGTTTTGCAGGAACATATAGAAAGGTCATGCAACAGAAGAGAACACTTAAAAATAAACAGTTTTTGTACACACGAATTGTATAAATACAGCAGTATTTGTTTGGGTGAGGAGACATCTCAAGTCAATGCGGAAAATATGGAATGTTTAACCAACGGTGTTGGGCCAACTGGGTAAGCATTAAAAAAAAAAGAGGTTAGATATCTAATTTCATATCATAAACTGAAACATATTTGAATTAACTATTTTTAATTAAAAATGTAGGCATTTCAAAAAATTATTATAATTGAGCCTTGCTTATCTTGATCCCAAAGACAGAAACCACCAAGCATAAATATGTGATTACATAAAAAGAAAATTTTTGCAGGTCTAAGTTTCCCTCATTAAATTGAAAGGAAAAGGACAAACTGGGAATGTATTTGTTACATATGACATATTATCTTACATATAAAAAGATTCATTCATTTGTTCAGCAAACTTCATTTTATGCCTACTCTTTGTCAGCCATTATGTTATACATTGTGGATAACCAGGTGAACATTAGATATCTTATAAATTAAGTAGAACCGCCCCCCCCCCGAAATTAAAAGCTAGCAAGGTACTGGGGGGGAAGGGAGGGTGGGATGAACTGGGAGATTGGGATTGACATATGTACACTACTATGTATAAAATAGGTAACTAATGAGAACCTACCGTATGGCACAGGGAACACTTCTCAGTGCTCTGTGGTGACCTAAATGGGAAGGAAATCCAAAAAAGAGGGGATCTGTGTATACATACAGCTGATTCACTTTGCTGTACAGCAGAAACTAACACAACGTTGTGAAGCAACTAGACACCAATAAAGATTAATTTTAAAAAGCTAGCAAGGGGGTTTCCCTGGTGGCACAGTGGTTGAGAGTCCGCCTGCCGATGCAGGGGACACGGGTTCCTGCCCCGGTCCGGGAAGATCCCACATGCCGCGGAGCGGCTGGGCCCGTG